AACCTTTTTTCAAAGCACACAGAAAACATGTGGCCACTACAAAACTATCTCTGTATGTCTCATTTTCTCTGTCTGTCACTTTGAGCAGCACTTTCAGACAGCAGTTAAGCAGTAAAGCTGCCTCACTTCCCTTAACCCAGTGGAAAGAGTTGCGGTTAGTCAGGGGTTCCTATGTAGATGAAAAGGTAAGATATGAAACATGACTGAGCTCAGGCTTTTGCTTTTTGAAAAAAAACAAGGCACTTAAGAGGGTGAGAATAAGGTGAAACCGATCACAGCAACTTAACTCGACATTAGTGTGCGAGATTTTTGTTTTTTTAAAGTGCATTAAATCATTTGGTCAAGATTCAAACATGTCATAGAGAACAACAGAAGTACTTCTTACAGTTAAACGCTGCAGCTATAGGAAGCTCATGCCTTCACTCAAATTAATCTACGGCTTCAGCTAAATAAAAAAATCACCTGGACTGTCGTTGGGGTTTATTATTGTCCCATGATTACCCCTGAACCTACAGAAACAGTTGACAGCCCATCACTGTGCTACTGCTGCAACAAAATATGAAGGGATGAGAATATAAGTGCACGACTAGGCTATATTGAATACTAGTAGTAACCTGCATTTATTTTAGACAGTTTATGACACGTCGTAAGAAATTATTATCAGTTAACAAATACATTAACAAACAATGAATATATTAACAAACAGCACAGCCGCGAGCTAAGACGTTACCCTGCTGATCAGTTTAGAAAGCATAACGTACATGTTCCACTGCAGGGCACAGCTATAGAGACTGCAGGAGTTTGCATGCTACGGTAGATCACAGGTCTCAGTTTAACTCATTATGTTAAGCAGCATTCAGCAGCACTCAACTGGCCATGTGGAGGATCATAAGACCTGCAGGCGGGCTGGCGGCGCATCCAGCATCGGCAGTGACTCAAACCCGACCAACACTGGCTGAGCTCAGATCGTAACATATTTGAGAATGGATGGAGAACGGCTTACCTGGTAAAACTCCCTCAGCCATGTTTTCTGTAGATTTTCAGGCTGGAAAGAGAAAAAAAAAAAGAAAGGCTGTTAGTGACAAGACTATTTTATATATAATAACACTAATAGGATTGAACTTTAATTTCACTTTTTATGCAGAGCTGGGTTCCAACAGGCACTCCATTTAACATCTGGTTCCTGCTAAGCACTCATTAAAGGTTTCATTAAGCTTCTTATCGAACCTTTAATCTCCCCTGTGTCACTTTCACCAGTTAAAATCGAAAACAATCACTAAGCGTAGAATATATCCGCTAAATAATGTTAATGCTTAAATTGCAGCATTTGAACTTCTGAGTGTTTCTGCTTAATGTGCTCTTTGCAAGTTGGTATTTCTACCTGCCCAACTACTGTTTGTTAGGCGGAAGAAATGTAAATCTGCAACCACAGTTACCTCAAGATCTCGATTTTGTAGTACGACGACGAGAGCCTGAGGACTCTTTGCAGGAGAACTTATTATTTGCGGTGTAGTAGCACGTGTACAATAAACTCGAAGTCATATTATATTAGCTCCTCTTGTTTTTCAGGTTTTACCTACACATTGCTGCCACTAAATACCTCTGTGTTTTTGGCTTCTCAGTCAACAAACAATGAGTGCAACTCCACATTTAAAATTCAAATTCACTAAAATCCCATCAAACCCCAACCCGAGACATGTAGGATGCACTGCGACAGACAACCAAAATATACCAAAGCAACTTATGGCTACTGATGAACCACAGTACCAAGAACAAACACACTGCTGCATGAGTAAAAGATGGAGGGCGTGCATACTATATGTATGTAAATCTATGTACAACCATGCACTCATATGTATCTCGACTGATCCATCGCTTCACTCTCATTACTGTATTTTTTCTCTCAGGGTCACAAATCTCAGCTCCACCGACCACCAACATGCCTCTAACCATCCTTCCTTTTTCTCACCTCCTTTTGCTCTGCCTATATCTGTCATTCTCTCTCGCTCGCTCTCCTCCACTTTAAAAGGCTATTCCCAGACCTGGACTTCATTTGGTTTGTGCAGTGGAAACAGAGACAGGGCCCTGGGCAGTCTACCATTTAAGGAGACATCTCCCTATGTCGATAACTAGGTCTGATGAACGTCTTTGTGTGTGTGTGTGTCTGTGTGTGTGTGTGTTCTGGGGAGTTTGTCCTAACAAGACTGGTCTATAATAAGAATACACAAGGGATCTGCAGGCTCAGTTGGTATCCGTAGCAAAGCCCTAATATATTAGAGAAGTAGGTGCTTTGTCCATGGATGGCATGGGGGCACGAGGCGCGTCAAATACCTCATCACTTTTATACCTTTATCAAAATACTTACTACACACTGAAACACAATGCTAATTTATTGAATACTATTTATTTTCGCACAAATATTTAACATAATTTCGATTTAGGCACAAACACAACAAAAATGTGCTGTGATGTGATGTGAAGTCATCTCTGTGTTCGTTAAGTTCAATATAGTACAGTACAGTGCAGTTAGTCAAGAAGATTTTCAACAAGAAAATTAGCTTAGCTTAGCAATAAGACTGGAGGCAGGCGAAAGTAGCTACCTTGGCTCTGCCCAGAGTTTAAAAATACCTCTAATACTGTTTGTTTAATCCACATAAACAACTGTGTAAAAGTGTCAATTTGTGGATTTACAGGAATAACAAACTGTAAGTATGACTTGCCAAACAACAGTTTATTCATCCACCCGGCGTGACTGTACACAACATCTCCAGCTATAGCAGCAGCTTTCCTGGTAGTTTCCCCGTGACTCTGGTAAATCACTGCACCTGGATGTCGTCTGCCAGGAAACAGTTGGAGTGTTGATTATTGGGCTTCAGATATATTTAGAGGTAGCATATAAATAAACCCAGGTTAGCCGTTACCCCCTGCTTCCAGTATTTATGCTAAGCTAAGCTAACTGTCTCCATGTCCGCTTAACACGCCATCACAAAGAGTGGCATCAATCTCCTTGTTTCACTCTAGGGCAGAAAGCAAAGATAATACATTCCAAATAGGGATGCGAGTGTCCAATGGTTGTTCGATTCATGAGCCTGATGGAGTTACAGGTGTGTTTGCTGACCCCATGAAAGGGTTCAGAAATCGAGCGCACTTCCCTGCTGTCTAATCGCTAATTGCTGTTGATGAACTCTTTCGTATGAAGTTGTAAAGAAGGTGTCTAGCTACTGTCTGCTTTATCTAATGCTGACGCTAAGTTTGAAAATTTAACACAGGCTGAGTTTTGTCAGCAGAGAAACAGTTGCTCCTGAACGCTGCCAACGTTCAGGAACAGCAGGACTCGGATCAGATGCTTCTAACAACATCTGAACCAAAGTGATGAAGTGCATCTATGACACAGCTCAGCTCTGAGCATAAAAATGATTTTGAGGTGGCAGTAAATACTGACAGATTTCCTGGACTGACAAAGTTGCTGCAACAGTATCTGAGGACATCTGTTTGAGCTAAGCAGCTGTTTTCAGCAGCTGGATGACCATTAACTACAGTAAACAAATCAGTGCATCGTATAGATCAGGGTTATTTTGAGATCGCCGTAAAGAGACTAATAACTACTGTGAAAGAGTGCAGCTCATTTGCTGTGGACAATACATAGGATTAAGTGTCAACTGTTTTATCACAATATGGAAAAACATCAACTGTATTTCATGAATTTGAACAATTATTACGTTATTGATTGCTAACATGGCAAGCATCCCTCAAGGAAATTGTTTCAAATTTGCCTTCGATATCCCAATCTACTCTTTTAACATCACACAAGTGAATCAATCCAGGAAACACAAGCACATCATTTTGGTGATGTCCTGGATATGCGCGTTAAAAATAGTTCACCTGTACTTTCCACAGATATACCACTGACATACTAACAGATTAATGAATTGGGTCAGGAGCTTACCCTCTGATATATGTTGACATTTCCAAGGGCACCTAAATGTCTCAGGACTTAGCAAGTGTGTGTGAGAGTGTGTATGTGTCTCAGCCAGATCAGACAGAGCATAGGTCTATATAAGGACATAAGCAGTGGACCTTGTCATCAGTCACATGGATGGAGGAAGAGAAAAAGAGAGTGAGACGGAGACAGGAACAGTAAGGTTCCAACCAGAAAGTTGCCACCTGACCATCCTGGTAATGTTGCAAAGTGTCAAACGCAGTCACAAGTTTGTGTGTCTCAAGTTTGGATCCTAATCCTGTGAAATGTAGGATCCCAGTGATAGTACCATCCAGTAACATGACAGCCCTTGACGAATCATCCAGATATTTTTAGCTCTTTCCATTGGTTGTTTCTCACAGGACCACTACTAGCCGCGCTCCCTGCAATTTCAGAAGTTTCCCCGTGTTCACACTCACATCACACAGACATTCAGCAGCACAGAGCGCGCAAAAGATAAGATAAAATTTACTGATCTCTCACTGGGGAGATTTACAAAAGTAGTAAATGTAAACTCTCAAAAATCTCTCTGCAAGTGTATAAGAGAAAAACACGATAATGACACGATAATGAGTCAATAAAGGCATGCTACTGACAGTTTTATAAACAAGTCAAGCATTGTGTCAGGGGAATACATGTCCTAGATCATCTTGGTGTGGAGAGAAAGCAGCTACATCCAGAGCTTTTCTAGAGCACTCAAATTTAGCCTGAGCCTCCAGCTCTGATGTGCAGCTGAGATGTGTGATGGTTCTGGGGAACAGATGTTGGCCTTGCCAGGGTGGCTCGGAGGAGGGCCGGTGGGCCCTCGGAGGCCTGAGCCCTGGAGAGAAAGTGGGCTATTAGCAGAAGGAACGGGAGGACGAACCAAGTCTATATCAGTAGCCTCGGCACCTCTCCACCCGCCCTCCACTTACCACAAGTTAATTTGCAGTTAATTAGAAAGTGGGGCTATACAGGCAGAGAGGTAAAAATAAACCCATACCCTCCCCAGCCTCTCCTCCACGTACACCTCCTCTTCCTCCACTGGCACTTTCACTCGCTTAGTTCTCTCCACCTCCTCTCTCTTCTTAGCCCGTGCCTCTGTTTTCTCAGTCGATGGCCTACTTTTCAGACAGCGTGGGGAACTAAGAGACTCCGCTTGGGTTTTTAGTGCAAATCCATTTAACATCCCTTCAAAGAAGGTAGATTTTAAAACCTTGCCATCTTGACAAGCCCATCAACAAATAATGGGATAACGAAACTTTCCCACTGTCCCATTAGACTGTCGACAAACCATGACAAAAGAGCTAGCTCGTCCTGCGCATCGCATTTTCACTACAGGGGGAAACAGTGGACAGAAATGTGACTTTCAGTGTGATGAAACACACCCTTATCTTTCATTTCGCTTTGATCTGACAATAAAACCTCACAATGTCAACGCTATCAGCTCTTCTTTGAACTAGGACAATAACACAATACCTCTTTTGGGTACTGACTGTAGGCATGACTATCTTGTGACAAGACATTTGCCGATTGCAAATGCCCAGTCTTTGAATTGAACAAATACCATGCAAAGCACTGCTGAAGGAGGGAAATGTAGTGCCATGCTACAGGGTCAAAGCCCTTGGTTTGGTAACTCAAGCTATTAAAGTTGCACTAGACAACAATTTTGAATAGAAATACAGCTAAATATCATTTTTGTTCACCAAAATTACAAAAAAAAATGCGTTCACACACTCTAAAAGCGTCAATCACTGCAAGTACTTTCACTTTTACATGCAGTTTTTACTGGAACTACCTTCTACGCCAAAAAATCTATTAACAGTGGCATCTAAATCCCAACGTGAGGCTGCAACAGAAAGCATCCTGTCTACATGTCTGTAACTGTAAAGTGCTCCTATTTGCAGAAAATCAATTTCAGTGTAATTTGTGGTGATCTCTACCCGCAGAAAGTAAGGAATCAAATTTTGCATGAGTAAATTTTTCTCACTAGATTGTGCTCACAAGTCAACCACAAATTAGCAGGAATGTCCTCAGTATGAAATCTGTACTATAAATCCTAACAAAGTGACCATGAGTGTCCTCTT